AAGGGTCTTCCGCCTTCCTGGCCCTGAGCAGTCCCAAGCGCTTTGCAAACAGTGGCTGTGCCGGAATCATGGCCCCTACCCCGACATGCAGCCACCGCTGGCCGTGTTAGCCGCTCACATGCTGAGTGACAGGCCAGGAGCGGAAGTGACGAGATACCGTGGCTGGTTGAAACTGCAGGGGGCATTTAAAGAGGCAGAATGGAATGGCCCCAGCTGAAATTTAGTCCGCACACTCCAACTGTTGCCATCCGCATGTTTTCCATCTTCTCTCGAGGGAGCCCCAGAACCTCTCCCGCGAATGTTCTGTGGACGGGTGCGCGCCCGTGAAATGCCAGCTCTGTCCTAGGGAGGGTTTGTAGCTAGAGATGGACAGGGCTATTGGGGGAGGGCGGTGTCCTGTGTTTTTCCCATCCAAAGCGTTCTGTGTTCAGCCTTGGGGGCTGTCTATACTTAGGGAGCAGGCCGTGGGTGAAGTGTGAATCCTAGAATCCTAGAGCTGGAAGAGACCTCAGGAGTCATCGAGTCCAGTCCCCTGCCCAAGGCAGGACCAATCCCAACTCAATCAACCCAGCCAGGGCTTTGTCAGGCCAAGACTTAAAAACCTCTAGGGATGGAGATTCCACCCCTTCCCTAGGGAACCCATCTCGGTGCTTCCCCACCCTCCTAGGGGAAGAGTTTTTCCTAGTATCCAACCTGGACCTCCCCCACTGCAACTTGAGCCCATTGCTCCTTGTTCTGCCACCTGCCCCCACTGAGAACAGCCTCTCTCCAGCCTCTTTGGAACCCCCCTTCAGGAAGTTGAAGGCTGCTCTCAAATCCCCCCTCGCTCTTCTCTTCTGCAGATTAAACAAACCCAACTCCCTCCGCCTCTCCGAGTAGGTCACGCGCTCCAGCCTCCTGAATCATTTTGGTCGCCCTCCGCTGGACCCTCTTCAGTGTGTCCACATCCTTCCTGTAGTGGGGGGCCCGGAACTGGACACAACACTCCAGATGTCGCCTCACCAGAGGGAAATGAGCTTGTGAAATAATTGGGAACAAGTAGCCAGGGAAGTCCTGGACCGTCCTGTGCAGAGATGACAGTGCAGTCACTGCCGGCCCATCGGACCCATGAGGGGGTCGCAGCTCGTCTGGCACCAGAGGAGGAGCCTTCTGGGGAGAGCACGTTGTACGGGACTGACGGGCCTTCCCCACTGGCATGTCCACTGTCCTGTGTGGGAGCAACATCCCGAGAGGCACCAGCTCTCAGAAAGCCGGTCTGAACGTTGAGATTTGTGGATAAGTAGAAGGTGGGAGTTGCCAGACTGGATCGGCCCCCCCAGTTCATCTAGCCCAGCATCCTGCCTTTGGCGGGGCTAGAGCTGCATGCTCCAGGAGATGTAAGAACCTGCAGCAGCCAACCTGCCCTCACATTAAGTCTCACTGGATCTCTGTAGCTAGAAATGTGCTTACACCCTGAAACTTGAAGGCTTTAGCTCCCTTGCAAATTTCTTATAATGGGTTAACTCTGGACATTCTTGAAAAACAACAAATGGTCGTGCAGCACCTTAGAGACTAACAAGAAGATAGCTAGTATCCTGGGCACAACCCTCTTCTCCCCCGGGTCTCTAAGGAGCTACAGGACCATTCGTTGTTTTACACTTTTTTAAGGTACAGACTAACATGGCTACCCCGCTGAGACTTCTGGACATTCTTGATTATTCACATGACTGTCCAGTCCCTACTGAATCTTGTTCAGTTCTCCGCAACTCCCCGGGGAAGTGAATTCCACAGTCTAATTACATGTTGTGTGGAAAAAGAGATTTCCTTTGATCAGTTTAAAATTTCCCCTCTGTGTAATTTCCTTGAATGCCCGTTGGACTTATTCTTGTGTCCCGTGATGGGGAGAGCAGCAGTTCCTCATGTATCTTCTCTAGACACTGCATTTCTAGTGAGCTTATCGTCAGTGTGCCCTCTAATCTTTTCCATCCATGTGCAGATTTTTTCCAGTAATGCGCAGAATAATTTTTATATGCACCCAGGCATGTGCGGATGTGCACCACCACCAGAAACAAAAACCTAGCTGTTGGTGCTCTGCTGATCAGCTGGGCAGCTGCACAAGCACCCAGCTTACAGGGAATGCTGGCTGTCATGTCTCTTCTTATTGTCTCCTCTCTAAGGTAACAATCCCAATCTTCTCTCGCTCTTCAGAGGAGCCTTTGGTCCTTCTCATCTTTCTCTCCAGCTCCCTTTCCTGAGCTAAGAGTTCATTTAGACCCCTCGAAGGCATATGAGTAGCCTAATTTTTCCTCCTGATATCCATTGCTTTGTATTTATCGATTTCATTGGCTGCCGCGTTGCCCTTTCACCTAGAGCCCGGTTGGTTTTGGGGAAGGGAGCTGGTCTAACAAGTTGGGTCTCTCTACAGGCCACGTTCAGGAGGGCGAGGACAATGATCTGCGTGAGCTCCATTCACTCTCTGGCCTTGAGCAGTCATGGCCTGGCTCTGCTTCCTCCACTGATCCATATCGCGCCGCCCCTGATCTCTGCCGGGAGAGTCCCCCGGCCTCCTGTGGAGGGAGTCTCATTCTGCTGCATTTTGCGGCCAGACTTTTCTAGAACTGTTGTTAACCCTGTTGTGCCTGCCGAGGCTGGTGGGTGCTGACGTGTCTCTGAGCACTGGCAGCCCCCGCCAGGACTAGGGACACCTTTGCTGAAATGCAGCCCGCGAGCCCTAGCGTGGAACAGCCCCGGGAGTAGGAGAGCGCCGGGGTCGGGCCAGCGAGCAGCGATGTGCAGCTCTCTTTGGCCGATCTCTGTCAAGGTGGGAGCAGGGCGAGGGGCGCTGGGCCGGAGGGAGATCTCTAATCCCAACCACAGGTTGGTTGGCGGTCCGAATGGCAGGGATTAGCACTCGCGGTTCCTCCCACCTCTCCCTTCCTATTGATTTACCTCCATGCTAATTTAGACCTGTGGCTGCGGTCAAAGGGGCCTGTTGCATACCTTCTGTGTCTGCAAAGCCAGGGGCTTCTCTTGTGTTTTTATTTAAAAAGGAAAAAATCTTAAGAACCCAATTGCCCGCTTGACTGGTTCCCGAGCGGCTATTATGTTTTAACCACAGTAATTGGCTTTACTAGTTATTAATGGATTACGTTGGGGGGGCGGGGAAGAGACAAAACCCAACACCTAGCTTTGTAGTTCGAGGCTTCATTGACCAAAATGCTGCCTAGGAAATTGGGGGTCAATTGTGGAGCTGTTGAAGTGACTCAGTTTTGTGCCGCTCTGTACTTAGTGGCCTCTCAGCGTTTCCATCCTGCGGGGCGCTGGCAGGGAGGGTGGACATGGGGCAGGGAGCTTGGTCCTTCAGCACATCCGCGTGTGATGCTGGGTCACGTCTGAAAAGCAAATGCTGGGCTGATTTGAGAGTGACCCGATGGCCACCACCCGTTATTTGAAAGAGACTTTCCCCGGCCTCCTGGAGCGGCTGGAGAGCCCAGGGTGCTGGGTCCCCACCCTTCTTGGCGTGCTAGGGTTTGCAGACAGAGGAGGGCTATACTTTCAGCTGGGGTCCCCACCCTTCTTGGCGTGCTAGGGTTTGCAGCCGGGGAGGGCTATGCTTTCAGCTGAAACATGGGGTGAGAAGACAGAGAATCCAGGGTTCCAACCCAGCTCTACCTCCAGCTTGCTGGGTGACTTGGGCCAGTCCTTTCCCCCTCTCTGCCTCTGTTTCCCTTTCTCTAACATGGGGATAATAACGGTTGCCTACCCCACAGAAGGCTGAAGATAAATGAATTAATTGAAGCGCTCTGAGCCCCTCCCCAATGGAAACTGATAAATCCAAGGGATTACTTAGCAACTTATTCTGTTTTAACCATGTGGCTGTTCTCAAACGCGATTCCGTATTTGGGTTTGCCCTTTCGGCTGCCACACGTCCTGTGCCGCCCCAGAGAAAATAAAAGCGAAGTTTGGTTCCCATCTGGATTTAGAAATGGGACGCCCCAGAGAAAATGAAAGCGAAGTTTGGTTCCCATCTGGATTTGGAAGTGGGACTCTGTTCTTCTTCGAGTCGCCCCGTGGGTGCTCCACTCTAGGTGTCGGGTCTAGGTTTCTTGCCTTTGGGCTATGCCTGTGATTGTGAGGGTTCTGTAGTAAACGAGATTTGCTGGAAGATGAATGTCTAGTGACTCTTGTGAGGAGTTGATGATTTTCTGGCACCACGTGGAGAATTGCCGCATGCAAGTGGGTTTCTGCAGGCAGAGGTCCAGGGTTGGGTCCTGCCTTATCAGATTGGTTCAAGAAAGACCAGGGACTGTGTGAGATTTCTGGAGCCCAGAGGTCAAGCAGTGCCCCTGGATTTGTGAACTGGCACTGTAGGAAAGTGTGAATGAAGCTAAATTACACGGCGAGAGAGGCCAGTCGGTTATAGTCGTGGGCGTTCTCATGGGCTGCCGGTCGGGCGCTGCTGTGAAAGCTGGCGATCCCATGCCTGGCCATGAAGCTGGCGTTGATGCAGGGTTTACATGTGGTATACAGAGCACATGGGGAGTGTTGTGCAGCACTCTCTGCTGTTCCAGTCCTGGGCTCCTCTGCAGCATCCTGCATCTCGGCCAGCTAGCAGGGAGCTGGGGTAATCGTCCTCTGAGCCAGCCGTCCTTCAGAGCCTCCTCCCAGCTCTCCTTGGCCACAGCATCTCTAAAAACAGGGACCGTGGCGTGCCGTGACCACGACTTGTCACACTGACCAGGATGTTCTCATTGGTTCCCTGGGCTCTAGGTTGGTCTCTGCTTCCATCTCTCTCTTGCCTTGTGCTTCGATTGGGAGCTTCTGGGTTTGGCATGCGTATGGCACAGGCACATCCCGGCCCATGGCACAGGCACATCCCGGCCCATGGCGCGGGCTCCTTGGCACTGGGCTACTATGATAGAACAATAACGTTCTCGGGGTCTGTGCTGTGTCTTGCTGGAATTCGAAACGCTCTCCATCCGGCACAGGGAAGTGGCTAACGCTGTTCTCTTTCTTGACAGTTCCTTCGTGACTGGGACAGCTTGCTGTGGGCACACATCCCCTCTGAGAATCTGGGACTTGCAGAGGTGAGCACGTGGCCTGCGCTGACTGGGCATGTTTCATTTGGGAGGTGGTGGGGAGGGAAGACCTGCACACCCAGCCTGGCACCTGCAGCTTGCCAGCTTCACCGGGGAAAAGAAGGCGTGGAGGTCAGCTCTCCCGCCAAGTGACTTTCAGCCCCTCTGAATAAGGGGTGGGGACGTGAGCTTTAGAGTAGTTGCGGGGCAGCTCAGTTTGAGAGAAGGTGCCTACACCCAGTGTGGAGCCGGAGGGAGTATGTGGAGAAAGGGCAAGACGGGGAGCGGGGTGGGACAGATGGGAGGTAGAGGATTTGAGGACAGAGATCGGGAGTTAGGGGAATGATTCAAACTGAAGATGGACATCTAGAAAACTTGCCTGCTGCATATCAGCTGAGCACAGTATCCCAGCGCCAGCTGGCCCACAGCTGTGTGGACTCGGGGGTCTGACGGCCTGGTTCTGCGGAGCAGTTTCTGCTTTGGTGCACCCCGGGGAGGGCTTGGACAGTGACTTGCTAATTTCGTGCGATCACCTTAATGGGCCTTTTCCTTCAGTCTTAGTAAGTCGCAGAGGTGAATGCCCTTCCCCTCAGCAGGGAGGCGGCTGGCACGTGAGAGGCTGCTCTGAGGACTCGGGGCATGCTGGTTCCAGTCCTGCAGCGGGAAGGGACGGGAAGCATTAGGTTGACTGCCTGGGGGTCTGTGTTACACCTGTGTGACCAGTATTGCTGTCTGGCCTTTTCTGTCTGCCGTGGGCAGTCAACCTAGTTACACAACTTCAGCTATGCGAAGAGCAGCTGAAGTTGGCATTCTTAAGAACGGTCAGACCAAAGGTCCATCCTGCCCAGGGCCCTGTCTGCCCACAGTGGCCAATGCCAGGTGCCCCAGAGGGAGGGATCACAACAGGTAATCCTCACGTGATTCCTTTCCTGCCACCCACCTCCAAACAAAGAGTCTAGGGACATCATTCCTGCCCATCTGGCTAATTGCTATTGATGGACCTAACCTCTGTGAATCTATCTAGCTCTTTTTTGAACCCTGTTAAAGTTCTAGCCTTCACCGCATCCTCTGGCGAGGAGTTCCACAGGTTGAGTATGCACTGAGTGAAGAAAAACTTCCTTTTGTTTGTTTTAAACCTGCTGCCTATTCATTTCATTTGGTGACCCCTAGTTCTTATATTGTGGGAACAAGTAAATCACTTTTCCTCATTCACTCTTACCACACCAGTCATGATTGTATAGACCTCTGTCATATCCCCCCTTAGTCTCCTCTTTTCTAAGCTGAAATGTCCAAGACTTTTTAATCTCTCTTCATATGGGACCCATTCCAAACCCCTCAGTATTTTTGTTGCCCTTTTCTGAACCTTTTCCAATGCCAATAGATCTTTTTTGAGATAAGGTGACCACATCTGTACCCAGTATTCAAGATGTGGACGTACAATGGTTTTATATAGAGGCAATAAAATATTTTCTGTCTTATTCTCTATCCCTTTTTAAATGACTCCTAACATGCTGTTTGCTTTTTTGACTGCCGCTGCAAACCGAGTGGATGTTTTCAGAGAACTAGCCACAGTGACTCCAAGATCTCTCTCTTGAGTAGTTGTAGCCAAATTAGTCCCCATCATATTGTATATATAGTTGGGATGATGTTTTCCAATATGCATTATTTTACATTTATCAACATTAAGTTTCATTTGTCATTTTGTTGCCCAATCACTTAGTTTGGGGAGATCTTTTTGAAGCTCTTCACAGTCTGTTTTGGTCTCAAGTATCTTGAGCAGTTTGACAGATGTATTGGAGCATAAGCTTTCACGGGCAAAGACCCACTTCGTCAGATGTTGCATCTCATTGTTTATGCAGATTCAGACTAATACAGCTACCCCTCTGATATTTCAGCAGTTTGGTATCTGCAGATTTTGCTACCTCCCTGTTTACCCCTTTCTTTAGATCATTTATAATTAAGTTCAATTGGATGGGTCCCAGGACAGACCTTTGGGGGACCCCACTAGTTACCTCTCTCCATTCGGAAAACTTATCATTTATTCCTACCCTTTGTTTCCTGTCTTTTAACCAGTTCTCAATCCATGAAAGGACCTTCCCTCTTATCCTATGACAACTTCCTTTACTTAAGAGTCTTCGGTGACGGACTTTGTCAAAGGCTTTCTGGAAATCTAAGTATACTATATCTACTGGATCCCCCTTGTCCATGTGTTTGTTGACCCCCCTCAAAGAACTCTAGCAGATTAATAAGGCAGGATTTCCCTTTACAGAAACCATGTTCACTTCCCCCAACAGATTACGTTCATCTATGTGGCTGGCAATTCTGTTCTTTAAAATATTTCAACCAATTTGCCTGGTACTGACATTAGACTTACCAGGATCACCTCTAGAACTCTTTTTAAATATTGGTGTCACATTAGCGATCTTCCAGAAGCTGGTTATCTATCCTTCAGAAGATGATTTAAAGGATAGGTTATAAATCAGTTAGCAGTTCTACAATTTCACATTTGAGTTCTTTCAGAATTCTCGGGTGAATGCCATCTGGCCTGGTACCTTGTTATTGTTTAGTTTATGAACTTGTTCCAAAACCTTCTCTAAAGACACTTCAATCTGAGACAGTTCCTCAGATTTGTCATCTAAAAAGAATGGCTCAGGTTTGGGAATCTTCCTCATATCCTCAGTCCTGAAGACAGATGCAAAAAGTTCATTTAGTTTCTCTGCAATGACCTTATTGTCTTTGAGCACTCCTCTAGCATCTCAATCATCCATTGACCCCACTGGTTATTTAGCAGGTTTCCTACTTCTGATGCCCTTAAAAAAATTGCAATTACTTTTTGAGTTTTGGATCACTGTTCTTCAAATTCCTTTTTGCTCTTTTCTATATTCTTCACCAGGATTTAAATTTCACTTTTTAAACTATGCCCTTTTATCTCTCACTGCTTCTTTTACTTTGTTATTAAGCCCCAGTGGCTCTTCATTGATTCTCATACTGTGTTTTTTAATTTTTTCATTTAAGTTGGGCCTCTGTTACAGTGTCTTTGAAAAATTTCCATGCATCTTTCAGGGATTTCACTTTTGGCACTGTATCTTTTAATTTCTGTTAATTAATCTCTTCATTTTTGTGTAGTTCTCCTTTCTGAAATTAAATGCCATAGTGTTGGGTTGCTATGGTGTTTTCCCACAATAGGGATGTTACATTTAATTATATTACGTTAACTATTTCCAAATGGTCCAGCTATATTCACCTCTTGGACCAGATCCTGAGCTCCACTTAGGACTAAATCAAGAATTAGCTCTCCCTTGTGGGTTCCAGAACCAGCTGCTCCAAGAAGCAGCCATTGAAGGTATCTCTGCATCCCGTCCTGAGGTGATGTGTATCCAGTCGCTATGGGGATAATTGAAACCCTCCACTATCATCTAGCTTTATATTTTGATAGCCTCTCTAATCTCCCTTAGCATTTCATAGTCACTAGCACTGTCCTGATCAGGTGGTCAATAATACATCCCTACTGCTATATTCTTATTATTGGAGCATGGAATTACTAGCCATTAGAGATTCTGAGGAACATTTTGGCTCATTTATTATTTTTACTTCATTTGATTCTGCATTTTCTTTCACGTATAGGGCCACTCCCCCACCAGCATAACCTGTTCTGTCCTTCTGCTAGATTTTGTACCCTGGTATGACTGTGTCCCATTGATTGTCCTCATGCCACCAAGTTTCCATGATGCCTGTTCTATCAGTATCCTCCTTTAAAATGAGGCACTCGAGTTCACCCCTCTTATTATTTAGACTTCTAGCATTTGTCTATAAGCATTTGAATAATTTGTCATTATTTATCTGTCTGCTATTTCCTGATGTGTTAGACTCTTTTTCATTTGATTGTATCTCATCTGATCCGATCCACACTTCCATCCTCTCCTCTTGACTAGAACACAGAGCATCTCTATTAATAGACCCTCTCCTAAGAGATGTCTCGGTCCAATCCATATGCTCCTCCGCACCCATTGGCTTTCCCCCAACTCTTAGTTTAAAAGCTGCTCTACAACCTTGTTAATGTTAAGTGCCAGCAGTCTGGTTCCATTGTGGTTTAGGTGGATCGCCTCTGTCCTGTATAGGCTCCCCCATCCCAAAAGCGTCCCCAGTTCCTAATAAATCTAAACCCCTCCTCTCCACACCACTGTCTCGTCCGTGCATTGAGACTCTGACGCTCTGCCTGCCTTCCCGGCCCTGCGCATGGAACTGGAAGCATTTCAGAGAACACTGCCACAGAGATCCTGTATTTCAGTCTTTCCTAGCAGCCTAAATTTGGTCTCCGGTAGTGGCGTCTTTCAGTAGTGCCAAGCTTGGCTGGCAGGCAGGTCACAGTAGAGGCATGGTCTAGCCAGCAGGGTAGCACAGAGGGCTGATGCATCCCTCTTCGCCCCTCCCAGCTGGAGTGCAACCGCGGGCCCTGCTTGTGGAGCATGCGGAGAGCCGGGGTGGGCTGGAGTCGAGAAAATTCACTGATGCAAGCCTCAGGATGGGGAGCCCGCTTCAGTGGACCAGCAAGTGGCCACTGGTGTCTAGGGTGGAAAGCAAAGCAGCTCTGTGGGTGGAAGACTCAATCCCAGCCGTTCTCAACCTCTCTGTGTAACGTCCCTCTCCCCAGCTAAGAGACACCTTTCCCGAGCCCATCGGCATCGCCTCTGTGCTGGCCACAGCAGCGTGGAGGGAAAAGCACGCGGGGTCTGTGCACGCTGTCTCCACTGTGCTGCCAGCCTAGCTGGCACCGGGCGCCAGAGACCACACGTCCCTGGCTCTCTAGAAGTGGCAGAATCTCTTGAGCTGGCATGTCCTTTGCAAACGTGACTGCTCAGAGCCATCGGCGAGGGTTGAAGGGCAGCGTCTGCGCAGAGTGTTTCTGCTGCCAGCAGCTAGGTGGGGAGGCCAGACAGTGGGAATGTGGAACCCCAGGCCCAGGGGCCGGATGCAGCCCCTGGCTTGCTTGGATCCAGCCCCGAGGCTCA